GTTATTTTACAAGGAACATTATTTTTTAGGCCTGTAAGTTTTTGTTATTGAATATAGAAACGCTTCATTTGTAATTGTGTGTGATTGGTTGTTAGTGGTTATACGAAAATCGACAAAGAAAATCAATAATTATCTTATCACAGACATAGGGTATGTAACTATATACGAAGCCCCAACGTGTATTTAATTGTTGTAATCACATTTAATTGAAGAAACTTTGGTTCAGGAATATAAACTATTATTTACGAAAAGTATTCACTGATGTGTAAAATTTACTCTCATTATAGTCATCGTAACACTGCCAACGTTATCATCAGTAGGCCTATCGTCGTAATCATCGTCCTTATCGACGTCACCATCAAAATTGTCGTTCATCAATTTCAAATAAATAAAAATTTTTAATTTGTTTCGAAGTAGGCAAACAAAACATAGGTCTTGTATATTTTGAACAAATATGAGCTATTTTTAATACCCACTGGAGGGTACAATGCGCTTTTAAAAAGAGGTGACTCAGTACACAAAACAATAACACGTTGATACAATTAGGCGTACAAGTTATAAAATACAGCCATTATAAAATACATCCATTATATAATATTATTAATGATGTACGAATCAGAAGTTAATGGATCTAAATTGCCCTACTCGTGTTTTCCTATTTTTCGAAATGAACAGACAGACAATCTCATGATCAGAGTGACCGATTCATGTTTTGGAAGTAGGATCCAGCGGATTGACACTAGGGGGAGGCTAGCTCCCTCCCTCACCCACGTCAGTTCCGCCGAAAAATTTTTAAAAAGAGGGAGAAAAAAATTGATAAGAGGAAAAATAAAAGTGTACCCACGATATCAGTGGCGGACCTAGCAGTGGGTAAAATGAGAGCTCGATTATTTTACCACTATACTATTTTAAATTTTGAATTTTCTATTGATTGACGACGAACACAACGTTATATCCCCGACGCTGATTTTCCAAGGATTTCATATATCATCAGAGGTGTACAAAAAAAAGCCAAAGACGAATTAGTACGGTAGGGAATTTACTACCAGCTAGAACAGTCTACCCATGCTCAGTGGCGTAACGCAAGTGGTGCTCTGCTGCCACCTCCCCCCACCCCCACTAAAATTGTCACAAATTTTTAAAAATGGAGATAAAATATTCAAATTTTTAAGTCTGAATGAGTGCCAATTCTGTGCTATAATAATAATTTGCTTTTCGACTCCAGTACAGAATATAATACAGGTCCTTTATTAGACATTTTGCGACGCCCGTGAGGGGAGGTTGTTTGAGATAGAGAAGTATAGCTCCCGTCAGGAATAATTTTTGAGGAGGAACATTGCTTTGACAAAAGCATTTTTACAATATGAGAGTGCCATTTCCGAGCGTCTAGAGAAATTTATTCTTATAATTTGTTCACTTGAGGGTGTCGCCTAACTTCACCTCCCCCTCCCTCCGGTTCCGCCCTTGGGAAGAAGAGGGCGGAACCGGGAGAGAAGACAAATTAAATGGAGGGTCCAGATTTCCCCAACCACAATAGTTGGAGCTGTAGCACGGTATATTGCCATGGCACCTCCTGTACAGCCTTGTATAGAGACTGCTGTATTACGTGCCTTATAAATTCATTGTTTGATTGTGTGTTATTTTATGATTTTTCCCTAGCAATCTTTAAATCTTAAAAGGAGTGTTTTGTACTTGACGTGTAAAATTAACTCTCATCAATAATCAGCCAACAATCATCATCACCGTCGTCGTAATTATCCAAGTAGTCTTTATTGCTGTCGTTATCAACATTGTGTCGGTCATTAATTTCAATTTCAGTTAAATCAAATACCGCAATGTTTTCATAAAAATCATATCACGTATCGTATCGATAATGCATCATTGTATCGGGGATAATACAATTACCTGCCTGCTCCTACACCATCATATTAGTTCATAACCCTTAAATATTATTTAAACTTTCTAAACAAAAATAAAAACTAAAGACGAAAGACTAACCATTAATTTATGTAATTCTCACTGGAAGTTAAAAATCATTAAATAAGAAATTCAATATTTTAGTTGGAATTTTCATAAGTCTCTGAAACAGAAAAAAATGACTTTATTTCTGTAGAGGGCAGTATTACTATTAGACTTCGCACGTAAATGTCTGTATAATTTTCAGAGTTTACGCATGTGTTGATGATCGGAGCAATCGGCGGAGGAGCAGAACCTCATCCTCTGCCTAAGATTGTAAGGAGGAATATTTAGCATAGCTAGGCTTTGCCCGGGTCCCTAACTACGTACTGTAAACGTAACACGGGGATCCGTAAAGCGTACAATAAACAAGGAGTCATTTTGTTTATTTGATAATCTTTTTCTTGGCCTCTCAGTAGGAGCCTAGGGCCTAGGCCTACCGTACTAGGCTAGGCCTAGGCCCTAAGTAGTATGGTAGGTAGGTAGGCTCTAGGCTATTTTGCTAGGCTTGGCAAAAACCAAGAAACTAATGAAAACTAGGTAGTAGTATTAGTAGTATTAGTCTAGAGTAGTGGTCTACACTAATTTTAAGGGCCTACTTCTTTTTTACTTTTTTTTTTTTCTTTTTCTTTTTCATTTCCTTCACATCCAACAGCAAGTACACTCGCCACTTGCAGGATGAGAATGATGCTTTATAAACTAAGTCACTTTGCAACTAAGTCACTTTATGAGGCTTATTAGGGAGTGGAGTTGTTTTTGGTCGGGAGAAAAATTCCTGCCGTGACTGGAATTGAACCCAGGACATTGGGATCAGAAGGCAGGCATCTTAACCACTGAGCTATTCAACTCCCAAATCCAAGTACTACAGTACTTTTGCAAGGCTCGGTCTCTCTAGGGCCTAGTCCCCCCACCTAAAGGTTGGGAGTCCAAGCTACAACCGATGCGCCAACCGCTTCTACAAAAATAACATAACATTACCGTTATTTTGACTGCCAATGTCATATTATTGTGGTCTATTCTAAGCCATAAAAACTCACTTCGTGCATCGTACAAGGTCCAAGGGAGGTTTATTCTGGGCCGATCAGCTTCATTGGCGCTTGCTTGTCTCATACCTTCGTTAGACCGGTTGTCGACAAATCTCTGGCGTCGCCGCTGAGTCTAGGCCTATCCTAATGTAGTAACATGAAAATGTTTAAAGTTATATTTATAGCTAAGCATTTGGTCAAGAGCATTGTCCCTGCTTCTTGCACTGTAGACCCTTAGTCAGGTTTTAAATGAAGTCAGATTGCTCTTCTCCTTCAACAATCCTCGCGTGAGAATTAGATATGTTGGTACTGGCATTGCACTGTGGCTACTGTGGGTTCTTAGGGACCCAGCCAAAATTTCGAATTTCAAATATTTTTAATTTGATAAAAATGGAAAATTTAATCATTTAAAAAAATTTTATATTCTTAAATAGGTACATTGGAGTGATAAGAATGATGGTGTTTTTGGTAATGTATTTGGTAATAATTAATAAAATGTTTATAAATCCTTTTTTAAACAGGTAATTAACAATTATGTTAATGTCATGATGATTGCATTCAAAGTAAAGGCTCTAATTTGCCAGGTGAAGATCAGTCATTTCAAAAGACATCTACTGCTTGCAACAACGAATCACAGATGCCAACACACAAAGATCAATTCATATAAACTACTCAGTTACAGGCCACCTGATTGGGCAGGCCACCTTAAAATGATTCCATTAGTGAAAGTTAAGGTAGGAAAAAATCCAATTGTATATAAATATATTTGATGTTCAAAATCAACTTTAATCAAAATCAATTTTGATATATGAGAATTTTATTTTTTAATGTATTAATCAGTCAATTTTTAAAAGCTGATCAAAAGCTAGAAATCACTGCATAGAGCAGGAGATTGAAATCACTTGGGCAAAATACTGATTAATAGCAAAAGGAAACAAATATTAAATTTGTAAGATGGTGACTGACAGGTGAGTTTAAACTATACTAAGAGAGAAGAGCCAGTCAGTCATAAAGAAAGATATTTTATAAATATTTAAATAAAATTTGATATTTGTAAGAGCAATCATGTGAAAATCAAAGGCTTATTCCAAAAATCCAATAATGTCAAACTAAAAGTCTTAATTGTAGTTAGAACTGCGCATTCTTGAAAGCTATGTTGTATGGATGGTGTTTTTAATATGTCACAATTGTAACTATGAATTAGCTTATTGGCAACTGTATGTACAAGAAAATTTTTGCACTTTTTTGAGCTTTTTCTAGTTCATGTAAGATTTATTGATTCAATGGTAGATTGGTTATTACAGTAAGATGCTTGCAGTAATGATTATTTTTTTGTATAGTAGAACTCCTGCTTTAGGGCACTCTTATTAATATTAAAGGGAAACTTTTTTGCAAAATGTCTTTTAACTCTACAGCCAACCTCTATTACGAGGAAGTGCTTATTAAAAAGGTGGGAATACAGTAGGTTTGCCAGATGACCAATTCAAACTCATTCAGTTCCTGTGGAACAAATTCAATTGTTAAGATCAAAATAATATTTTCAAAATATTTCTCACAATTTAAAATTTTATATCAGTTTATGTACGTAAATCTACAGACTTTTCAAA